TCCTTAGATGTTTACGTATTGTTTCATGAGAGACATATAATTTCAGGGCCATTTCACGAGTGTGTTGCCTTGGGTCAGTCTGAACGCTTGTTGAGTCTAACCCAAGGCATCAGTATCAATTCCAACATGTCGGCCTCTGCCATCACAGTTTTTAAGGCTAAAGTCACCTGAACGAAATTTGCTGAAACATAGTTGACACTTACGAACGTTCAAAACATTTCCATAAACTTTTTTGATATTCTTTGTGGCTATAGAGGCATTGTTTCCCTTCTTGTATTCAAATAGCATTACATGCCATGCCGAATGCGTGTCTCATCGTGTGCCATCATTATAAGATATTAGAGTACACTAAACTTCACACATTATATAGGCTACACTAACATGACGTTTGAGCGGTACATTTAACTATTATACCTGATGTACGTTTTTTTGTTGTTGTTGTTTTTTTAGATGGGTAATGTAAGTGTTCCAAAACGCGACATTAATTTTTTGACGACCTAATACATATAAATATCAAGAATATGAGTTATAGATGTTTTCCTACAAGTTTTTTCTAAACATATCCTATGACAATTTCGTCTCTACTGGAAGAGCTTGTGGATTTTTAACTTTAGCTGTACAAAAGATTTAACTTTGTTTTGTATCTCGGTAGTTCAGCGGTAAGTATGAGGGCTTATAATGCTATAATCGGGTTTCGATACCCGCGGTAAGCATAGCTCAGGTGGTTCATTATGTAGCTTTGTGATTAACAACAAACCAACAACAAACAAAACTTGACCATCGTGCTACGAGTAACTTAACTTTACGTGTTAAGAATGACTTAGATTTACCTTAGCGTTAAGAGTGACCTAGCCTTACCTTAGTACTAAGAGAGACTCAACTTTACCTAAGTGTTTCGAGTGACTTAGCTTGACTTGAACGCTGCGAGTTAACAAAAGTCATTTAGTGCTGTGTGCTACTGACTTTTAGTGTTACTAAAACATAATTCATGAATGGAACTGTAAACTCCATATGATTTCAAAAAAGTCGAACACTATTTTACTAGAATATCATGTAGAAGTTCTAGGTGCTCACGAACTTCGTCAAAATCAGTTGACCCCCAAACGACATATTCATGAACATTGTGAGACAAAAGTGTAGTAAATACAATTCAATGAATGGGTAATTTAAAATGACGTCAAGTCGTACTCTCACCTAGACGTTATAAGGAAAATATTTTTAGTTAATAGAGAAATCTCAAAAATTCTTATTTATTTCTGTTTTAACCAGTACTTTTAAAAGCTTCAATATCCAATACGATTCAATTACCTAATTTCTTTTAAGGCTAATATGACACTAAGTTTTTTGTATGTTTAACATAAGTAAGTTTAACCAATTAATGAACCAACAGTTTGTTAAATCGCGTGTGCAATACAAAATACAAAGTGTTACTACCACCACACAAAAGTAAATGAACAAGTTTATGTTATTTTACAAGACAGTTTCTTTTGTTAAAACATTGATCAACCTTTCTGATTCATACAGAAATAATGATATTGATTGACAAAGGGACAATTTTTTCTTACCCAATGATGCGTAAAGATTTGTAGATTCTTATTTAATGTAAGTTTTAATCTCGTTAATGTATACAGGAATGCATGAATAAACTCATTCTTTGGTTAGTTAATGTAAGTTTTAACCTCGTAATGTATACAGGAATGCATGAATAAACTCATTCTTTGGTTAGTTAATGTAAGTTTTAATCTCGCTAATGTATGCAGGTGTGCATGAATAAACCTATTATTTTGTTAGTTAATGTAAGTTTTAATCTCGCTAATGTATGCAGGTGTGCATGAATAAACCTATTCTTTTGTTAGTTAATGTAAGTTTTAATATCGTTAATGTATGCGGGTATGCACGAATAAACTCATTGTTTGATTATTCCCCATACTGCAAAATAAGTAAGATGAAAAACTTTCGGTCAACTCAATTATGAAGCACACTGTATATACAAATCTTCTGGTTCTTTTGAAATTGTCTCGCCGGTGTCTCAGCGGATATAACGCTAAAGTTACTGTTATTTAATCTTAAACAATTGGTTACTGTTCTTTTGTTAATTATGGATCGTTACAATAATTTGGTTAGTTTAAGATATCAACAAAGAATAGATGGATTTACAAGTTTGTTGTCCACTTGAACAATTATAATGTTACACAATGGACTAAATAACTAGTTGAAAAACTCCTTGATTCAGACGTAACCGACCTTTATTTTGAACTGCGTATGAGAGAGAAAGTTATCAGTCAGCACCTAAAGTGAGTGTTCAAACGAAACATAGTGTTGACTGTCACTCTTATAACACACCCTCAATTGAAAATACGGACCGTGTTTGTTGGTAACAACTCTTGAACCGGAGACCCTAGAAATTCCCAATCTGATAGACTAATCAATAGGCCAATAATTTACATGACCTTTAAAGTAAAATGAAATATAAATAGAAAAACAGTGACTAAATATTAGAGATTTATTCTTTATTTGCACCTGTTTTAGAAGCTTGGATTTATGATTTTCTGTAGTTTCCATCATAGTGTCAGAATAATCAGTTTATGCTCAGAACAAAATATTATTTACTTATGAAATATTAAGTGATAAATTAATTATTGATTATTCAAAATATGTATATTATTTAGCGAATATTTTATGACAAGTTCTTTAACACGTTGCTTGTAGGGAGAGCTGGACCCAAAGTTTTTTTATGATCATTTTGAATAAAAATATCAACTCTAATGTTTCTGTTTGCAAAATCATATCAAAATAAAGAATGAATTTATGTTTCTCTGTCGCTTCAAGGAAAACAGTTTAGTGACGTTATCATCTCCAGCAATTTTCGTCTCGTTTCAGAAGCCAGTATGTTTTCATCAGTCCTTTTCCCTATTGAAATATTTTAAAACATGCATTATTTATTTAGAATTTTAAAGTATTTTTACAATTTCCATTAGTGATAATTCAGAACACAATCGATTTAAACAATTACTTGTGTAAGTATCGAAAAACAACGGTTCATGTAAACATCACTCGGGAAAGTGAGAGTTTATACATGTAAAAGTATAGAAACAACAAAGTTCAAGTAACAACAGAACATAAATGGACATTTTTACTGAAAGAAAACTATATTTATATGGTTTCTGTCAGAAGCATTTCAATGATCGAATTTTTCGTGGTTAGTACAAAGAAAAGTGTCGCATGGTTTAACTGTGTTGGCAGGATCAGTAAGAGCTTAAGATTTTGCTAAGTTTCTACGTGTCACTCACCCATGCTCAGGAACTCGTGCTCCGAAACGGCTTTTTGGTTTTTCAATGTAGGAGACTTTTAAGTGTATAAAATATCTTAACAGTGATTTTTGGGGGGCCGAAAAAGTTCCGCTTAGGAAGAAAACTGCTTTTGTGTAAATGAACGTCAGTAATACCGACTTATAAATGTCTATGATTAATATTAAATGCACCAATATACATATATAGGATATTTAGGTGTTGCAAATAATCAAAATAGATATTCTAGTGGATGTTGAGATTGTCAATATTTTACAAGTTGTCTTTGCAGTCGATATTAAGATATCTAATATTTTACAAGTGAGTCACTTTTTCAGTGGGTACTCAGCTAGCCAGTGTCTATTAACCTTAGTTGATAAAGCATTTGACTTGTCCAATGTGTATTGGGGTATTCAATATTTAACAAGCTTGTGAATATACAATCTATTAGGTGATAAGGTAGTTAATACCCACATTATTTAGTCTATAAACATGTGGATAAGTTTTCTAGTGGGTATTGGGTGTTCATTATGTTTTAAGAAACAAAGACTACATACCGTTATTAATAGGTAGAACATAAGGTCAAACTGAATGAAAGTAAACGTTTATTTTCAGTTAAAGGGAAAAATAAAGGCAATCTTATGTAAACTAACTTATAAAAACGCGGAAAGAATATGAATGTCTTCTATTTCAAAAGTAAAATTCATTCAAGAACCGTGTAAGCTATTATTCGTAATAAAACGAATGAGGTATTCTGTATGCCAACAAATATTATATGTATAATCTAAAATCGCCATCTATTAGTCGAAAAACTAACTAAGGAACAGGTTTTGGGAACGCTTTTGGCGATAATTAACACAAACTGTATATGAGGTTTATGTATGGTATTTATTAAGGAAGTGAACAAGAAAACTTTGATAAGTGAAACTGCTCATAAGGCAATTGACAAAATGAGTGTGTGTGGGACAAAGTTCACGAAGAAAATGAAATGAGTCAAGATTCATTAGCTGTTAAGTTATAACACGATAACGAATTATTAAGCCTTAAAGTGTCGGCTCACGAACAACAACAATAATAATTGTATTACTTCTCATTGTAATAGTAGTCTTGTTTTGTTCTTCTTTTGAGCATTCATGGACAAGAATAACGATAATTTTGTTACTTTTTTATTATAATGTTAGTCTTATATACCTACTTCCAAAGCCAGTTATGGTGATCTTTTAAGCGTTAGGACAAATAATAATGATAATTTGTTACTTTCTTTTTACTGTAATACTAACCCTGTCTACATCGATTGTAAGTAATGATAATCCTTTGGATTACTATTATTCGTAATTTTCTTAATATTAACTGGAGTTTATTATTAGATATAGCTATTAACATGAATAAAATTAAAACCTTTTTTACGTTAATATTTAATCTTGTAAGTGTTTTAAGTGTGACAACAAAGATAATTTTGTTACTTTTCACCGCAATACTAGTCTAGTCATATGCGTCCTGCCTGTTTCTACTCTCAGAGATAGAAATCCTTTAAACGTTTACGGGCGAACAACAATGACAACTTATAACCTGGTCTTCTTCCTTTGTCAGGAAGTCTTCTAGGTTTTCTCAGACAAAGATGGTGGTAAAATTATGTGTCATGTTTACTCTATAATACACGTATTTAGTACTAATCTGAGACCCCTATTTCAGTAGACTTACCTTCACATTAATAGTTCCACGTGGTTCAGTTATAAAACCACACTGTACAAGTTGGTGGTTGGTATTTTCACTTATATGAATCTTGCCTGTCTGTAAACATAATAATATTAAAATTATCAGTTTTAACTAATGATATAAGTTTTAAAACTGGGCAGCTGTATAAATCAATCCTCAGAATGAGCTAAAGGTATCATAGGCATTAATGAAGTGCATTCATCTTACACTTAATAAAGGGGAAAAATTAATTTAATCTGTCAGTCTAGAAATTATGCGCTAAATTTGATGGGCTTTAGAAGACAAGTAAACATTCAGGTAAAAATCAGAAAATATTTCAAAGTCGTATAATGTCTAAGATAAACAAAAGATCCAAAATTTTTATTGAAAAAGTGTATCTTTCAAGTTTAGTTCCCAGATTTTGTTGTTGTCGTTAGATACTTACCATTTCTGTAATAATTAAATAATTAAATTCTTTGAAGAAACGTTGCCAACTGATTATACGGTAAGATTGAGATATTATTACGCTAAAAATCAAGACTCTATCCCTCCCATGAGCATAGCCCATTGTACAGCTTTTTGCTTAAAAAAACAATAAATAAAAAAACTTTCTAGAAAATCAAGTTTTAATTTTAGACTGATGAGGAAATGAATATTTTTCTCCCTTTTATTTGATGCTAAATGTTTAGCTTTCATTGTCAATATATTTTGTAGATTTGTGGTATATAGACATACCATGCGTTTTCTATCTTCTTGTATTACTATAGTATTATTCTATATTTATCAGTTATTTCTGATTATGTACATTTTTCATATAACACGTGTTCAAGAAATTCGTTACGTTGATTATATTTTAGCTGCCTTTGTTCCTTTGTAATTCTATTGAAGTTACACTTGTTATGCCATGGAATGGATGGCTGTAATAGTGCACGCTGTACTAATGTATTTTAATGGTAGATTAGATGCTATCTCGAGGTGACGGCCTCTTCTAGACGCTGTGAGTAAATCTGACAGTACATATAAAGTAAGGAACATTGAGTTTAAGCATCTGGTAAATTATCTCGACCTGAGCAGCTTAATCCTCTTGATGCAGACAGGTCAAATGGCGCATGTCACGACGTTTTATGTCAATAAAATAGGCATCACAACGTAGTTCGTAATTCAAGTTATATTATTACTTATGTTTTAATTTCCCAATTCAAAAGAAAGTATATAATATTAAATAAAGGCCGAATATGTTTTTTTATGTGTGTCATATGGCATGTCTCATAGTTCAGTTTATATTCTATTACGCCTACCAAACAATGTATATAGTAGTTAACGAATTAGAAACTCAAATTTCAGACATTTCAAACTAGAATATAAAACAAAAACCTTTCACTCTTTTTTAATTATTTTCTGAGATATCCATATATTTTGCAAGAGTCCGGTATGGCCAGGTGGTTAGGACTCTCGACTCGCAATCTGTGGGTCGCGGATTCGAATCCCCGTCCCACCAAATATGATCGCCTTTTCAGCCGTGGGGGCGTTATTATGTGCGGTCAGTCCCACTATTCGTTGGTAAAAGAGTAACCCAAGAGTTGGAGGTGGGTGGTGATGACTAGCTGCCTTCCCTCTAGTCTTACACTGCTAAATTAGGGACGGCTAGCGCAGATAGCCCTCGTGTAGCTTTGCGCGAAATTGAAAACAAACAAACAAAATATTTTACAAACCTACTAGGACAGCTGCACCCACTACTCCATTCTTTTGAAACCTCTAAAATACATGTTTATAATTAATAGAAAGAGTACATTCCAAACTACATAAATTTGACAGTCTTTTGTAATTTGCTTGAAGGGAAACTTGTAATTTCATTGAAAATGGTGAAGTCTGTTGACGAAGTCGTTGCTCTGAACAGAAATGAAATCTTTAAATTCACATACATAGTTAGAAAACCAGATAAATTACAGTGGTTTTATGTGTACCAGTATACCAACTTGATAATTTAATTATTTTCTAAAATGCATCTTTGAAATTTATAAAAAATAATTTCCTTCCCTCTCCACTTGAAAGAACAAATGAGGCTTAGTGAGTACGACGCGCGAGTACAAATCAATTTTAATACAACTCTGTTTTCCAGGCCGGGGGTTTACGATTAACTCTGTAGGAAAATTCTGGTAATTGCACAGCATGAGCTTATTTGCTATCAACGGTCTCATATTATGATGTCACATAAATAATCTAATGGCAGGAGTGGTTATTCGTTCCTTTATGTTTGGCAGGTTTCAGCTTCAGCCTCTAACAGTAAAATAAACACAAGAAATGGGTGTGAAAAGGTTAGAAGTAGAAACTATCAGTAAAACTACTTTGGTTGGTCAAGTTCACCGACTCGGTATAGAGTTAGGTGGAGAAACTAACATATAAAATTGAATTATTTTCTGAACAAGGAACGTTTGATATTTATTTAGGAGATTTTACAGATTACGTAAATGAGATTTGAATATTTTTAGATGAAGAAAAGTACTTTTAATGTTAGCATAAAAATCACTTTGCACACAGAGCAGCTAACACTCTGACTATATATTCCTAGACAAATTTTTAGTAAAAATACTTAATTAAAAATTCTGATTGTTTGCCTAGAAAATATTTGTAATGTTTGCTAAAAGCTTGAAAAAGTTCTTAAAGATACACAAAACATGTTAAATGTTGTTAAAAGTTAGAGTTTGGAAACTCTGACGGTCACTTTGATGTCAGATGATTGGTGTAATCCATCGAGGCAACAGTGAAAGAGTTAAGAAAATAGTTCTGCTTCCATAAAAGCGACAGCTCATTTTCCAAAATAAGTACAATGGAAGAAAAATTGGAAGATGATATCCACCAAAATAAGCTATCACACCAGTAGAAGAGATGGCAAGCTCCAAATGGTGAAGTAGGTGAACCATAGGGCAGTGATTAGCCTCTCTGTACAGGAAGGTATACTGAAAAAGCAGTCATTGACTACAGGGGAGCCAGGGATTGCACAAAGGCAATGATTGAGTTGGTGGTGACAACTCATTACTCTGCCACACTGGACTAGAGATCAACTAGTCATACTAGAGTGGAAGTCCCTAAGATTAGCTATCACGCTGTGCTCATGACCTTTTGAACATTTCAATCAGATGGTGGACTAGGAGTTATGAGGAAGAGATTTTGGCCATGAACATAACTCTGAATGTGTGAAGCAAAACAGATGACCTCCCCCAACATTCAAGGGCACGGGGAAGAAAAGGAGATATTTAAAACATTTTTAACGCATTTCAGATAGATAGCTGCTTCGAACCATTGGTTTCCAGAGGTTGTTGTACAACACCTGATCTTGAATCTAAATGGTCTGATCTTAGACTCCATCAAGCACTTGAGCAAGGTACAACTTTGGGACTGAAAAACAGTTGTTGCTGAGTTATGTCAAATGTTTGACCTGATATAAAATTGAGCAAGTTCATTTGTAAGGCTTACTCTGCAGTGACTTTGTTGGATTACAAGTTTCTGGAAGAGCTAATCGGTGAAATGGTGAGGCACCACCTGTGCGTTAAAGATCTTCTTACAATTACTGAGACAGATTCTGTGGTGATGCAGTATGAAGTGATAACTTTGAATCCATCACAAGGGAAGATGAAACCTGCGATGGCTATACCTCAAAGAAACCATCCTACCCGGGCATCCTCATCACATCAAACTTGAACTCATGTGATGAATAGCCAATAACCCACACATCCGTGAATTGCAATGCAAACATACTGGCATTCAGAGATAATCTGTGCCAATGATGTCTCTAGTCATTTGCCATCTTGGAAATAAAAAAACAAAATGTTTGCTTTGCCTGTGGAGCATTGGGTGACTTTCAATGGAATTGCTCATACCTTACTAGGTAGCAAAGCAGACAAAACTATTGGTTTCATTCTGATAGTTCAGTAGGTGTAGGAGAGCTAATAATAGACAGTGAACATTGCTGCTACAGTTCCAGTAAACTAATGAAGCCCACTGGCCACCAACTGTTTCCTGTCCAGAAAGCAAGTAGCATTAGCTTTGGAAATTATACATACAAGAAGGGATGAAGTCCCAATGTTGTTCTGCAATTATGGATTATTGGTTACCCAGTATTGTGATGGAATGATCATTGATGTGGTAAGAAAGTTAAAGTAACTGAAGCTAGTAATAATGCTAGAGTTGTATCTGTCTCACTAAATCTAAAAACAAGCACACAGTTACCAACACATCTCAGAGTAAAATATGCGTTCATGCACATTGGAGTGGAAGTTATGTTATTGGTAAAGATGGGATGTATATGGATCCTGCAAAAATAGTATTTGTATAAAATTTGCCTCAACTTGTGACAAAGTGAAAAGTCTCCAATTTCCTAGGTTTTGTGTCATACTTCCGACAGTTTGTTGCCAACTTCTTCAAAATTACCATACCATTATCGACACTCACTAAAGTTGAGACGCATTTACGATGGATTTAGGAATGTAAGTACTACTGACAGTATTTTTACAGGAGAAAGTTTCTTTTTTGAGTGAACAATGTATTACTAACCTAATTTATGAATTCTAAAAAACCGGAAGAGATGATAGCACACTGAATAACATCAATGTAGGAGTAGAAATTACTCACCATCTGAGCTCACAATATGTAAACACTGATGGTTTGTCTCACCATATGGAGAAACTTTGTCTGTTATAAGAATGACCTAAATCTGAAACTGAGTGGGAGTTTAAAACATTTCTGACATAGTGACGACAAATCATACAATATGAGATTCCACTAGTGGATAGATGCCATGATTAAAGCTTCAAATCAACTGAAAGACCCAAATCTAGTGTGAGCACTCTTTGCCATGTGACAAGATATAGTTTGACCAGCTTGAGTTGAGGAACGTAGCACAGACATACATAATTTATGGCACTTATAGGAGCACTGTTATCAACCTCCAAGCAATGGTTCTCAGCCTGTATTACAGCTAGTTGTTCCCAGTTCTTTGAGGCATGATATTTTGTAGGCTTTGCATAACACAAAAAAGTGGAGGACACCAAGATATTCACTGGCTTATACTAACATTCAGTGGTAGTTCTATTGGCCACTTACTAGACGAGATGTTCAACAGTGATGTCAACACTGCATAATATGTGTTATCCAAAGAAAAAGCTAGCCTAAAAAGGAAAACTTTTGCAGAAAATTGTTGATTCTCCCTGTAACGAATTTATTATTATATATTTATTTTAATACGAACGTTTAGATTAAGTTTATATTTAAAAACATGCATATCTTAAAGTGTTAGATATATATTGCAAAACTCCCGCCTATTCTCCAAAGTTATAGAAGATTCTCGAGGGCAAGAGTCAACAATATATGTACGTACGTAAACGCTTGTGTTAACGCCAGTATTGTTACGTAAACCTGAAATTTCTAGAAACCTTTACACGTCTATAAATATAACCAACGCGACGCGCCATAAAAAGAATATCTATTTTTCGTTTGCTATAGTCAGTGTGCTGTAACTTTGGAAGCTATAACTGTGATTGTTATAGAGCTTATCAATTGGAAAACTTCAGATATTTGACCAGGAAAATTTACAAAGATCGAACATTATAAATCATTTAACTTCAGTGGATTCTCATCGGACATTACTATTTTTACGAAAACATTACCTAACGTCACCGTGTGTTCAGCGAGAAGAACAAAGCTAGCTAGCTCCCTGTTAAG